CCCTACTCATCCGCTCCACCCCCCTCCCTCCCCGTGCTCTAAACGTCTAGAGCCGGTCACAAGAAGGGACGAATCAACGGGAAGAATATATTTCCCACCTACAACAGTCATAAAGTAGTTTTGTAGCTATGCTACTCCCATATACATGAACATAGACATAAACAAATAAGTAACTAATATGCTAGTACTCTAAAATGAAATATAAATCACAATACTACCCTGATTGGAGAGATTGTCGACCAGTCAACCCTCCATCATCGGGAGTAAGCTGACAGCTCACCATTCATCCTTTACGTTCTTCTCTCACTACATTATCTGTCCATTCAGTCACAAATCGGATCCATTCACTTCTCTCAGTGTGATTTCTTCATTTTCTCGTTCCGTGCCTTCTTTACATTCTCGACATCCATTTTATCGCCATATATGCATTTTTTTCAATCACAAGTTATGCCGTTTCAAGCTCTTCCAGCCAGAGGAACACGGCAAATCCGGGTCCAAGTTAAACCAAGTAAGGTATCCCGGAAAATTGCAATGCCCCGTAGGCAATTGGACAGCCTTACGCGACAGTTTTCCAGAACCTTCAGAATAGCCGCCCAGTCCCTTTGCAACTTTTTCCTGACACATTTTTCAATATTTATTTCTTCTTGCTCTCCACCCTCTTCGTGTCCTAATATAACATCTCTACCCATTCCTTTTATAGCCTTATCTTGAGTTCCTTCATTGGCAAGGTTGCTCATACGTTGGATTCTCGTCACTCCACGATTCTTCATTCGTTCCACAGCCACGGCAGAATCGCTGATCGCAACTACCTTCTCATTCGCACCCCATATTCCAATGACTCTCTCAATCGCTATCAGTTCTGCCTCATTCACACTGCTCTGTCCGGGGATCCTACCATCCCCTATCCACTCCATACAAACGCCCAGCTTATGCACATTCTTCCATCATCCATTCTAACTCCTCCATTCCTTCATCCCTCATTATTTCCAGCAACATGCCTTGCAACCAGGGTCCTGCTTTCACTCTGTCCTCGATCTGTCCCCCTTTCAAGTTTTATAAATTTTTTTATTCATTCTGGCATTCCACATTATCAAAAATTGTTAAGTGAATAGTCAAGATTGTCTCCAATGTAGTTGGTCCTAATTGCTTCAGATTTAATCAAACAAGCAAGTCTTTACTTGTGATATACTGTTTGGAACCTTTGGTGTAGTAATGAATATTACTGGAGTTTTTTTCCCAACACCAAATCGTTATTTTTACACCTCGACACGTGTTTCGATCACCAAGTGATCATCTTCAAGAGGAAGATAAAACTGAAGCAAGTCTTTCTTAATAACGGATGCTTATTTCAATTTTGGTCAGAGATGCCTACGTTATTATTGGTTTGACATCATGAACTCTAACCAGATCAGCTCTCATGTCCAAATAATCCTTTTTCATGTAGTTCTAGTCCATCCTGAGGTCTGGTTCCACTAGCAGGTATTCAACTTCCCCAGTAATTATATTTTCATCTGGAAGTTCAAGAGGTCCTATTTCCTGTATCATGGCCGATTCGCACCTCGATCCATTCTGAGACTCTGCTGCATACATTCTCTCATTTTGTCATTATTATATTTGCACTAAATTAGCTAAGTAATCATCTGCTTAGCACCGTATTTTGTGTTCGTCATGGTCCAGAAGAGACAGTAGTTTGCTCTCAATGGTCTAGACACCTCTTTACTTCCCTTGCCACCATTGTTGTACCGCTTTCCAACCGTTCACCTGTACTGGCCTGTCGTCGATTAATCATCTTCTCGACACCTGGATGATTATTTCTCAATATGTGCTATCAAATACATCCTCAGTATCCAAAAGATGATTTGACAGTATTTTTCTATTTCCATACACATATTCAACTGTTTCTGTAGCCTGACATAGGCCGTTTCCATTGATATACCTGCCCTATTTGCATATCCAAAAAATGTAGCACTTTGCTAACCAGTGATGAATCCTTCTATTTCAGTTTTCAAGGCAAACGATGTAATATAAATTGTTCTTTCCTAATATTATCCTATTCATCTAAACTTCGAAATGAAGCTGGCCATAATCCGTCTGCATGTTTTAGACTCACATCCTGAAACCAAACTTGCTCTTGGAATTGAACACCATTCTTGAAGAAGAAGATCTTATTTTCTTTGCTGAATTATAGGATAAATGCCTTTTGGTCGCGGTAAATTATAGGATTGAAATAAGTTTATCTTCTTCAAACCTACCACTTCCTCTTCCATCTGCCAATACTCTCTGAAGCCAAGAACTCCGGTATCAGATTCATAATTCATCACTTGGAAAGTCCACTTGACTTTTCAGTATTTGCTTTCTTTGGAAATCTTGCACATACTTGGTCTCTTCGCATTGCTTTCTCACTTACAGCTTTCTTACATTTAATTAAAGATCAGCGTATTTCTAATAAAATAGAGAATCTCAACGTATCTCTTTGCAATGCTATGAAAACATTCTTGGTGTTGAAAACAAGGTTGTTGGTGATTTACATAGTTTTCTTGAATCTTCTCCCATATTCTCAAACCTGAAGAAATGTACAATTTATCGCTTTTCCAGGTCCACGAAGCCGACGCATGTCTGGTCCTTGCTAACAAGTACTGTCAGGACCCCGACGCTGAAGACGCAGCTAATATTATGCGAGTCATTTCCATCAAGAACTACAGTGACGATATTAGAGTAATAATACAATTAATGCAATATCATAATAAGGTAATTGTTAGTTGTATCATGAACCAAGTGTCTATTGTCCTTTAAAGTGGCCTTTGAACAAGTTTATCTTCACTAGGTTGATCCTTAGCTATAAGTAATTTTATGAAATTTTCCCGTCGTCGTGATGGAATTTTGTCAATTGATTCTCTTTTGACTTATATTTTGCCTTAAAAAGTTGCGACTATGGTCAGTCTCCATTCTCAACACTCAAAGGCACTCAAAAGTTGATCATGAAGTAAAGAAACGATAGAAGTTTCGAGGGATGCTTGACGGGATCAATTTTGCGCTTAGGCTGTTTTGTCTTGCATCGGACGATATCCATAACCATTAAAAATGAGGCAGCTGAGCTGTTGAAAGATTATTAATATTGACATGTTCATTTTACATCGCGTTGGAAAAATCAGGCTTCACATAAAACATATTTTTTAGGCTTATTTACTTAACATTCCATCTTGGGACTGGAAGCAAGGAGACGATGTGATATGTTTGGCAGAACTGAAATTAGGCTTCATTGCACAGTCCTGCTTGGCACCCGGCTTTTCCACAATGATGGCAAACTTGTTTGCCATGCGATCCTTCAAAACGGTGAGTTTTTTATGTAGGCTCTACAAAAATCATGAACGACTACTGGTTACATTGATAAGCTATGATTAAAATGGGTTCTAGAGATGTAGTGTGATTTTAGCAATGAGTCCCGATCCAGTAGTAAGATAGTTTGAGGAGTCGTCCGCCAGAAAAATATGTAATGAAGGATGTATGCTCAGCTAGCTCGAAAGAAGGAGTTTTTGAATAAATCAGGAAGTCTTTTCCCAGCCCTGCAAATTTTCGTCCTCAAGCACAGTATGTGGGAGAGGATTTTCCATAACATCCTCATGTTCGCGGTGGACTACTTGAACCTGGGGGTGGCCTCGACCCAAACTTCTTGGCCTTCTTCGCCGGTTCCTCTATCTCCTTACTACCTTCTTCTTTTCCTGGGGCTCTCGAAATCATCATCTGAACTGATCTGGAAAAACAAATTCGATGGAGGTATGAGTCCTCAAAGTCTGACACCTCCATTAAGGAGAAGTCCAACAGTGACTCCTCGTAGACCCCAGCAAATCCACTGAGGTGGGGTTCGACGACTAAATTCGCGGCCCCATGGGGAAAAGCAGCGGCGGTTTGTTCTCCAGGTCGTCCTCTAGCTCTTCATGGTTTGGGTTGACGTCCTCAAGAAAGGATTCAAGGGAAGGAGCTGCCATCTTCTGGGTGGAAGACATCGCCGGTGGTGGTGGGGCAGGAGTGTTGTGAAAAGAGGAGGGGGTGGAACAAAAAGCCCTTTACTTCTGGAAACTTCGGATAAATGAACAAGTCGAACAGTTCTGAAAGAGGAATGACATTGCTTGATCTGACCTTGGGATATAAGAGGTAGATTCTCTGACATCTGTAAATGGACCACACTTTCAAACTGTTCAATTTTCATACGTTCTCAACTATATATTACTTTTTTAATGCAATGAATCCGAAGTTCCCAAAGTTTTTCATGATTAGTTTGTGGCGAATAAAAGTTGAAATATTATAGATGTTATAAATCAAAATCCTCATATATTTTGGAGCCTTCCTTGAACGAAATTTTTGGACAATCAGTTCTAAATTGACAGATAACTGAGGATTCATCATGAACTATAGACTAGACCTATCATAGACATCTCTAGAACCCAAAAGCTTATTGATGGAACTAGATCAACAGCAGAAAAACTACGACCTAGATTTCGTTTGCGTTTTTGTTAATGTTCATTTTCAGTCTCCAGATATGCAGGTCTGTACCAATGACTATTTACGAGGGACAGGCATGGAAATGTATACAGAAACTCTCAGCCCCTCCTTTATAGGCATGCCTTTCGCAAAGGCGACAGAGTAAGTCGGCTCGACGAACCAAATGCTTGGGCGGTTCTGTCTTTAACATATATTGGCGTTTGAGCAAAGTGTTCGAATTGACATATTGGCGAATCATACTGAAAATAATTTCCAGCAATATCTATTTTAGTATCACTGAAATCGCCTCATGCAGAGGTTAGTATTTACAATGTCGATACATAGAGAGTAAAAATGTCAAAAACATTGTTGCCGTTAGCTCTCAGTTCAATTTGCATATGAGTTACCTTCAATTGAAAATTGTTACACTATAATTGCCAAATATCATAACTATATTTAGATAAATGAACTTTTACTAGATTGACCATTATAGTGTGGTGCACTGGGGCTATAAATCTGGCGTTGAATTCGGTCGTTATTACGCCTTGGTCAAAAACGAAACGGACTGGTTTAAGTTTGACGATAGTCGTGTCAAGCACGATAGTCGTGTTCTGGCGATGTATTGAATCTATTGGAGCCTCTGGAGACACCCTACATTTTGTTTTATGAGAGTGAGGACATTGGCAGATCAAGATCTGCAGCACCTGCTGCAAATCTTTTTCAGCTGCAGAAAACCCGCAGCACCAGCAGGTGCTGCAGGTTTTTTCGGGTTTTCCTGCAGCTGAAAAAGCAAATGCGCCACTGCAATCAATGAAGTCGTCCCAGAGCGCCAATTAATTTGTATTTTTGACAATTTGGCTTTTGACATTGTGATCTCCCGAAGTGTCATTACTAGTCCATTGCTGATATGATGAAGTAGTAATGTCTAGGAAGTTATAAAGTTGTCTCTGAATGTTTGAAATCTGTTTAAAATCTGTTTTTCCGTTAATCAGCTGCCGCCCCTATACGAACGACAACTCTCAGAAGTTGCGAAACTTGTGCGAGCTAAGGACTAACGAGGTCTTACCTTTTAACGTGTGATTCCTAACACGGTTGCAGAATCATTCCAGCTTCAACAAGATAAATTCTCTCGAGAAAAATATCTGGTCGAGGCGACCAGATATTTCGGTTCTATTGATGTTGTAAGAGCACACGTTTGGTGGATTGTTTTTGAGAACTTCGAAAGTAGGTAATTGTGCTACATGTTCTCTGGATTATTCTGAACGATATCTTTCAACTTCTGCATCAGTATGATCGCCAATGTTGATTCGATCCTTCAAAAAAAAAGTCAAATATGCCTATGAGCTTGGATTTCAGTCAAAATATCCGCCACAACTAAATAAACGTAACTAATCAATCTTTGAATCGTGTATGACTAAAATGCCATTACTTAGGAGCTATCACTATTTTTCAGTAAGTTTCTCAAATGATAGGTGCCAGTTTCAGGGGGAATGATGCTCATTAAAAGCGTCTGGTGTGGAGTATACCCAAACATTATTGTCTAGATAATACCAACGAGCATCTATCTCATCTCAATCAGAGATTTCATTTCAAAAATTCCAAGGAAAGGACTCTAAATTCATCTAGGTAGATGGGATAATCATAATCAGAATTCAACTAAAATAGTGATGAAACTTTGGTTTGGTTTTTGGTAATAGTATGGGTGAAGAAATAATCAAATTCTGCGGTCAAGATTTTTTGTTTTACAAGTACACATGGTACCTTTCAGAACCTCTGATAAAAACACGTTTTTGTGAAAGAGGAAATCATCTGACTGGTTGCCTAAAGACTATACAATGCGTATTGTTGATACATTGGAGATTTGGCTGCTCATCGCTTCGAGGTTCAATTCAGTACACTTAGAGCTTATCTTTCATTTGGAGAACTTCACTTATGTGGAAGAAACTTCCTGAGGTTTTTCCAGCGATTCAAATCCAACATGAATCGCTATCCCCGCACAAGAACCGTTCTCACAGGGCCTTGAGAATATACCTATAGTGCTTGTGTTTGTCTTTGAAAAAATAGTGTCGCTATCCTCATCATATGAAACAATAATCAGATCATCCACCATGATATCTATCATGGGTTCATTTGACATGAAATCGTTCTCAAATTCCATTGGTGGTTCACATCGAGATTTCCATTGCTCTAAAGGAAACTGTTGAAAAAGATAGTCACATTTTTATTCACCACGTAATCTTTCTGTTCAGCCCAAACAAATCCAATTGGATTCAAATCCGGGTGATATGGCGGATTTGCTGCTAGAGAAAGCTGATCAATTTACATACCGCTTCAATTTTGGCTGAATGTTGTTTATGAGAGCAATTGGAATATTCCCCTCTGATGACCATGTTAGCCTGTCGGCTTTTTTGGTCGATATCGTTGGCATTTTGTCGATTTTTTTATTATGTTATGGTGCATTATCGATCACCACGACTCCATTTCTTGTAATCATCGAAATGCATCTTGTTGTGATAGTCACCTGTATCACAATTTGATTCCCATCTAATGTAAGCATCAGGCACAAGCCCATTTTTACCACTAGCATGTATAATGATCAGACTTTGCTCTTTACTGACAGGTTTTTTCAGACTCTCCAGTACAGTTCGCAAGCAAACGCCTGTGGCATCAACCGTTCGTTCTTGAACCTTGAAAGTTACAATTTCACTTATTATCACGAATACTTCTTACTTTCTGCCGTTGCTTCTGCTCAATTTCTCTGTTTTGTCCACTGAGAACCTTTTCTTTCAGTTTAATGTTCGGTAGCATTTTCAAAGACAACAAATGACTCACAGTTCACTACACATAGTAGTTTCTTCTCCTACTGTACTAACGGGATGTTCGCTACACGAGTTCCTCCATGTTAATGACCTCCCGCCCACTTCTCCGGTTGATCTACTGCGCATCCAATATTCAGAGACACAGCTAGATGTGCCAAGTTCTACTTTATGTAAAAAAACGTCCTGATGGATAATCTACCACCTCTCAAAATGATGTATTTTCTTCAGAAATTTTTTGTTTGCACTTTCTAAGACATATGAAGCTTCCCAAAGCTTCCTGAAAACTAACAAAAATATTCACGGTAAAAATCAATGAAATATAGTGACTTTCTTATTAGTCAGTGAGTTATGTTTGAAGACTGGCAGTAAACAAATCTAAAGAAATTAACTTTAAACGTTCAAGCCAGTCTCGGATATACCTACACAGCAGGTCGAATATAATCCAACGCCCTTTGTGGTATTAGCCAGGGGAGTAATTGTGAGTAATTGTTTTCTCATGTCAGGAATGGTGAACTATACAACTCTTTGAAGAGAGGGGATTATACGACAAACTTGTGAATCAACATTTTTACAAATCATAGTGTTTCACTTAGCACGGTCATGTTTCCTATAATCTTCCACTGTGTAACTAACTATGAAATTAAATATTAACCATACTCTTCATGAATGAATGCTCAGTTTTTTTCATTATTATTTTCGCAAGCTTTTCGTGTTATCTGCTGTTGATGTTTATCGTTGTTCTACTGATTTCAAACTTTTGACCATCATTTTCAACGGGACAAACAAATTTCACCCAACTTCCTCACATTGGTTTTGTAACATTCACTACTTCGATGCTGAGTCCATTGAGATAAAAGGTCCAAAGAGAAATTTTCTACTTGCCCCTAGTCCTTGAGCGGTTGAACAAAAGTCATTTTTTGTGAGGAAATATTTTCCACAATCTGGAAAATATGAGAATTGTACCGGAGGAATTTATACACGTGTAGAAAGGGCTAACTTTTTGGTCTACCCTGATAAGTTACTGCGCAAATTCAAAGTATTTGTCACAAAGAAAAATGTTTTATTCATAAGTAACTGAGGAGTTATACGGATAATCAGTTCTCAAAGTTTCGGAAGCTAATATTTCCGTCTTCGGAAAAATCTGTGGAAGGCGAACACACCCAAGGAAGGTTGATAAAAAATTCTTGAATGAGTTTTGTTCAATACGTCTCACTTTTTTGTGCCTTTTTCAATTTATTACTATTATATGTTTGTGAATGAAAAACACTGTATAGTATTTTCATACATCTTTATACAAAAAATTAAATGTGGGGATTTTCCAATGATGAAGAAGTTATGTCGACAGTTAATGGCTATTTTGAGGAGCAGGACAGTTCTTATTATAAAAACAGTATCCAACTTAATGAACTTCGCCGAGAAAAGGGTATAGAGACGACGGTGACTAATAGAAATCGGGAATGCGGCGATGGTTATTGCCGTCGTGTTCAGTTCAGGAACTGAACGTGATTTGAGTGTTGAAATTCGATATTGATTCAGTTATAATTACTTAAACTTTCTGTTATCTGTTTTAAATGTGGCGTCCTTGGACAAGTACTAATAGTGATAACGAGTGTGATAAAAACGCAGACTTTTTCCAGTGAAGTGATTCTAATAGCGATAGTAAACAATGCGAAAAAGAGATACAAGTGAATAAGATTCGGATGCATTTGAATATTGAAACACAGAAAATATGTTTCAATGTATATAAGAATCTCAAGTTTGGTTTCGAGGGAAACAAACTAACACAAGTAACATCAGTTTTGACAGAAATTCCTTTCTCAACTGTACGTAAAATAATTAAAAACAAACCTTATGAACGCAAGACGCGATGTGATACAGGAATACCAAAACCTTCAGATATTTATCTAATAAAATCATTGAAAAAAATAACATACGACTGTTACAAAAGCAATGAGATTCCTACAACTGAAATCATAAAGAATAACACTTCCGGCCATAACGTAAGCTGCTGTGATAAAACTCCTCAGAAAAGGATTAAAAAAGTAATTTTAGTTGAAAAAAGGAAATTGGACACTTCCATATTAATAGTGGAAATAAATCCACTATTGATATAAATGAAGACAGTGATAGTGAAACAGAGAATATAGAAGAGGATTTATCAGAAGCTTTCGAAAAAAGTTAGTGAAGTCTTTTTGAAGCGATCAATTGTATATACTCAAAAGTCCAAACCGTTAAAAAATATAATATTTTGGGAATTCACTTCTAAAGGATTATTCTGCTGAAAAACTCAAAATGTGACTTTAGCTTCAGTCAGTTGCAATAAAATTATAATAGAGGGACAAATGCCATGTAGTCCAAATAATGGCTTTCAGCCACGAAATTAGAGAGTAACTACGCTGCGAATAGAAACTCGTGGAACATTTTTTTATGATGAACCCTTATTCTCACATTTCAAATATTTTCACAGAATGAAAAAATTCTTTGTCAGAATTGAAAGGGCTATATTCTTAGGAGATTAATTTTTGGAAGATTCCCACATTTTTCTGTATGAAAATGAAGAAGTAGAAAGTAAAATCCTTTATTTTCACGAAAAAAATAGTCTGTCACCGAAATAACCATCTTTGGAGTCACGAGAGTTGTTAACATTTGCTCACAATCCCTCAGAATGTTCCAACAAAGAAATTTCATAAGCATATATTAGTAGTAACTAGTACAGAAATAAAACGATAGAGGGCGCAATGAATTCAGACAAATTACCTCAATTCACTTCCTACTTCTTCGAAAGCCAGTATATCGGTATTATGGTTTTCAGTCCCCTGACACCCAAGTGTGGCAGAATGATTATCTGCAAGGCACAGGCTGCGAGATGTATACAGAGACTTTGTCCCCGTCTTTCACGGGCATGACGTTCATCCAGGCCAGCGAGTAAGCTAACTTCCACAAGACACACAAACACAAACCACGAACTTGTTTGAACAAGAACACAATGTGCGATTTGACCACCTCACCTACTCGCGTGGTTATTAGTTTCATAGTACCACTTCAAAAGTTACGTGAAGGTTATGAGTAGATCTCAAAAGGTCTGCATACACATCGAGCACCAACTGATCACTTATTAGTACACAGCGCCCTAAAACAATGTTGTTCCTGGTAAAATTATCTAGTTCTGACATTACCCGTTTTGTTACATTTTGACAGACACTTCCAACTAACAGTTCAAGCGTCAGAGCTGACAAGTGACGTATCAAAACTGACAGTTGACGTATCAAAACCGACAATTGAAGCCTCCTGTCACTTTTAATATGTCAGCTGTCAGTTTTGAAGATAAATCAGCGAGTGTTGCCAACATCTCGGCGCGAAAACGTGCGCTTCGGGCGCGACTCATTTAAAATTTACAGTTTCCTTGACAAATGTTACTTTTTTCGACATAATCTGTTACAATTCGTTCTCAAGCAGGAACAACACTGCCCTGCAAATCGGGAGAAATTCGACTTTGAGTTCAGGCGGTTGGTAACTTCGTTATTCAATGATACTATGAGAACAAATAGCATGTGGTTATTTAGATCAAATACAGAGATAATTGAATGCAAAGTTTTGAAAAGAAATTTTGAATGATGAGTCAGTAATGAGGTTTAATACGTCCGAAACGTGCTTTATGGCATGGTCAAAACCTCTATTTCACTAGTGATTTTGCTGCCCTCTTTTTCATTCTTTTTCTTATTCTTAAATAGGATACATAGAGCTCTCTCCAAACCTCCAGAAAGAAATTCTCATTATTAATTGGGCAATTGAACTTTTTTCTTTGGTGCTCCGATAAATTTACAGTTTCCTTGACAAATGTTACTTTTTTCGACATAATCTGTTACAATTCGTTCTCAAGCAGGAACAACACTGCCCTGCGAATCCGGAGAAATTCGACTTTGAGTTCAGGCGGTTGGTAACTTCGTTATTCAATGATACTATGAGAACAAACAGCATGTAGTTATTTAGATCAAATACAGAGATAATTGCATGCAAAGTTTTGAAAAGAAATTTTGAATGATGAGTCAGTAATGAGGTTCAATACGTCCGAAACGTGCTTTATGGCATGGTCAAAACCTCTATTTCACTAGTGATTTTGCTGCCCTCTTTTTCATTCTTTTTCTTATTCTTGAATAGTATACATGGAGCTCTCTCCAAACCTTCAGAAAGATATTCTCATTATTGATTGGGCAATTAAACTTTTTTCTTTGGTGCTTCGAAATTTACGTATTTATTGGGCTAGATTCAGAAGATTGTAGAGGTTGTGAATAAATTTCACCAATGTTCTATGACAGACGATTTTCTTAAGGCCCTAAAAAACCAAGAAGTGGTATCTCTCACCCTATTGGATATGTCGAATACTTTCGATACTGTTAAGCTTGACTGCCGAACACTACCTTCAAAAATGGTACACAACTTTCACAGCAGATCACTGAGGAGCATAAATGACATATTTTATATTCCTATCCATCGTTCTTCATTTTTCGAGGCATCATTTTCCTAATTAGTACCTTATCTGCTGAATAATATACCCTCAGAGTATCTGGGACTACTCTGCTTCCTGAGATCATGGTGAAAAGTAGCCCCTTTTTGGAAAAGTCACCTGGGTTAGAAGATTTCTAGTGCTGCGTCCGTTATCTAATCACTTTCGATTAACTCTACCGCAGTTGAAGACAAAGCGTTAGCTTTGTCTGTCCAACAAACTGAAAAAGCAGTTTTTAGAGTTTTATGTGGTTGTTTTGAGATGTCTATGCAAAAAAGAAACCATACTTCAAGAAACATTGCTTGTGTTTCATCCAAATGACGACTGATAATGTTTTGGTTAACAACTACAATTTTTGGGCAAAATACTGAAGAAAACTAAGACAATATTGAGAGGAGAAGCATGGTAGGTACTCTGAAACTAATAAACACGCCGCAAATATTGGTAGGTGGTTTTGGAATGCATTTTCTAGAAGTCAAATTAGAAGTTGACCGGTGGGCTGCCACACAGAGTGTAGATGAAAACTGAAACTTATTAGAAACGCATCTCTACAGAATGTGTATGGAAGTAGCATAGTAACACAACCTTTTTCCAAATGAACACTGAAATTAGTCTGTAGTCTGGAACCTACATGCATGATAATAACCCATTATTGTTTGTATGGTACTTGATAGATGTGTACTCGTAGATACATTTTTGATAATATCATCTTTGTCAAATTATGTTCACTGGTTTTCAATAGTAACATCATTCATTTCCCCACAAACCGGAAATGTGTAAACACTATGAGAAACCATTTATTTCATGTACTTTCACCAAACTGATTTTTTGTCAAAATGATATTTTAGTATATTTCTCTTCAGTAAATACCACACGACAAACCTACTTTATTTATTTTCAAAGCCCAACATTCTGGGATACTGATCCCCCAAAAATAAAACACAAAGTTTTTCAAAAATATCTGTTAGGCCAAGCATTCTAGACTAGACTCGCTAGTGAAAAATACAGTTGATGTAGCACCCTGTAGCTTCACCAATAATATGCAAAAACCACTTACAGGCACTACGGCATCTCAATTTAGTTTTAGCATTATCATTTTCCATCATTCACCAACTGCTAAACCAATTTTATAAAAACCTGTGACACCTTTTTCCTCTGTTATGTCCAGTTTCATCAAAGCTTTTCCACCAGCAATTATTTGGATTGCCAGTTATATAAATTTCCAGTAATACTGAAATATTCAAAACTCCATAGCCACACGTGTACCGTGTACCGAACAATTGTCGTATTTTTATGCACGTTAGATAATAATAGTCCAAATAGATTGATTCATAGTAACATTAGGTACGTTTGACTTTTGGCTAGTTTTTGCATGCATGTTAGAACAAAAATCGCAACTTTCCATCTATACTAACTGAGTTTTCCCTTTAGGCTCTGCTTCACGAAGTTGAAACTACTTCTTCTAGCAATTGAAGTTAAAGGTACGGAAGGCGTGGATACTAAGATATCGATAAATCCAAGAGGAGCTAAAATTGTAGCTAACACCCAAGGATTTTTCATAGCTCAATCTGCAGATGAAGTGAAACGGTAAGTAGCCACAGCAGATACAAAAGGGTATAACATTTTGATACTTAAATGCCTTTTTGTCTTCTTATACCCTTTCAAGTTACACATATGTCTGTGATTGATAATAGAAGTTGAACAGTTACCATAAAACAATTTAAATTACTGTATGTCAATATAACTACATTGGTCGATTTGTATTAAAAAGAATAGCTGAAAATAACGATTATATTAAGCAAAAAAACCCTGAAAAGAAATAAAATTAAGCAATTAAAATGGAATAAAATTTCAATTGTTCGTATCCACAGTCGTCTCCGGGTAATGACTGGACTTAGTTCTCCGAGAGGTGACTATTTATATGTCATTCGAGTGCTTCCATCTACCCCCTCTCGTCACTTCACCGGTTTAGCGGGAGATGGCCGTTTGGAGGGAGTTGACGAGTTGCTATTCTTAGACTCATTGGTGAAGAAGACCGACACTAATGGGAAACATCTGTATTCCGAAAAGCTCCTCACACGGGACAGTATCTGAACCACGAATCCAACCACCATCAATCCACCAAAAGAAGAATCATCAAGACCCTAGTAGACCGTGCTTTCGGTCTCTATAATACCAAGGAAGGTCTCGAGAAGGAACTAGGCATCATCAAAAAGATCTTCAACGGAATGGTTACTTCAAAGTGATGGTGAAACAGATTTTCACAGGAAAACAGCAAGAGCCTCACAAGGAAGAGAAACCTGCTAGTGCGGCAAATGTTATTTTTTTTATTTATTCAATTGTTCTATTTTTACTTGTATTTTATTTCACTATTATTTCATTTCAGGTTTATTTTGGTTAATATAATTGTTATTTTCAGCTATTCATTTTCAATTCTCCTTTCAGGGATTTCAAATCATTTCATATGTAGACAATGGAAGTCCGAACTAGTGAAATTCATCATGAAACGTTGTCAATCACCTTCAAAGATATTTCATTATTATCGTTTCAGAGCTTGGTTTTACTGCAAGGCCTGCCATGAAGATATCAAGGACGAAACACTGATCAAGAAATGTAAATGCAAAAATTGTGAGTATCTGATCATCTTTTTTTATTTCTGGGATGAAACTCTTTTTGAAAAACCTTGTGATTTCCGATTATTCTTTTAAACCTGCACTTGATATTCTCAGGTGATGGTTTTCTGATAGTTTCTGTTTCATTTGTAACTATCTGGGTTTTTGGTTTCTAGAAATACCAATACTGACAGCACATGGTTTAAGAAGAAGTGGAACTTTATCAAAAAATATTTAGTATTATTGAGAAACTTTGTATCTTACTCAATTCAGGTTTATTCCTTTCATCAATCCTGGGTTGACTTTGCATTAAAAAAATCTCCTCTCCTGCAAATAGGAAGTTATAAATTGGGGCGAAATCAAAACAGAATTGAAAAAATCCTTTTTCAATGTGGGTGATGTGGATTAATACAATTTTTCAGAAGTCAGCATTTGGAAATAATTTTGAACAAGTTCAAATTCTTCTTTCAACAGAATTTGTTGCTTTCTCTTGTTTTTGGCACAATATGTTTCCGTTTCGATGTTGATTTTTTCGTATCAGAACCTGTTGCTTGTTTTTTTGTTCTTGTTCGGTTTGTGAAAGAAAAATGAGCTGATGAAAGAAGATGTCAGCTCGATGAAAATTCTTTCATTCAAAGAATGGAGTTCTTGTTCACTTCTTCTTTTCAGACAGAATAGAATTCTGGTGGCATTGTTCTCTATTTTTCTTTGGTAAAGTGAGACACAAAACTTTGTTGAAGCAACAAACTAATGATAAAAAAACAACAACCAGAAACATTTTTGAATCTACTCTTGTGATGAAAAATGCTAGTCCAGTTGATCTACAAATTGGTACAGCATATTTTTAACTAAATAGAAAAGACATATTCCAACAAAAAAGCAACAGAATCTGGTGTGATTATTTCGCATTTTGCCATGTTTTTTCGATGTTCTCATCAGTTTGAAAAATGTTGCAATTATCATAGTTCATTTTCTATATAAACTTTATAAAGGTTGCCATCTGAAGAAAGTATTGGTATTTCAATAATCCTTGCCCAAAAGTGAATTATTTTTATTGATACATAATTCCGAATGATATACAAAACTTCCCAACACGTGTTTTCCCAATTGTAAACTTTTATGATGACTTTTAGTGGCAGTCTCTCACCGTAACTGGTCCCACGATATAGGTAATTGAAATGCAGATTGATTTGATTATAGATCTGTTTAGATCTTGCCTGAACTGAGGATCAACTCTGTTCTCTTTTCCTAGTTACTGTTTTGCTATGGAGATTTCAGTGTTACTTTTTACTACCTTTGCATTTTATCCACACACTCGAAAATTTTTAATATCTCACTTGATCTTAGCATTTGCCATTGATATTCGTAGTATATTTGACTAAAATCAGTTTACGATTCATGTAGATTCCTTTGCCTTGAACTCACTTGCTGTGTTGTCGGGGATTCCAAAGATGCAAACATCTGCTCAGTATGGCAAAAATAAAAAAACTGGCTTCGATCTGAGTCAACTATTTAGAAGTTGTGCTTTCTTGTTATTTAGAAAAGATGAAACTTACAACTGAATTGATATAAACACCAAGATACAACGAGAAAGAGCGTTCACTTCTATATAATGTGCATGGGATAATAATTTGAAGCCTGTAACAAATGGAGTGATTGTAGACTCCAATTGCTACTTCGGAACTGATAATGTCCTGAAGAACTGGAAAAACTAGCAGACAGGGAATACTGCCCGGAAACATATACCGCTAAATCTTCATGATTATCTGAGACACAAAGCTGAAGAGCTGATACAACAAACCATAATCTGGCTCGGAATGATTGAAAAGCTTTTCTCTGGGCATTGTTCATTCAGAGGTCACCTGAATGAAACAGTGTTGTTTGGAGGATATGAAAAAAATGATAAATAAGCTTCTGCAGCTCCAGAGACTTGAGAAAATGGTAGCACTAATGTTTGACTGGCAGAAAAGTTGAAATTAGATTTCATGGCTTGCCTAATGGTTTTGGATGGTAGATGTTCAGTTTCATTAAAGTAGTCATGGCTGACAACCTAGACCATTGTGGGAATTTTGCCCTCAAGCATGAAATTGAAGTCCAACATTGTCCTCTTGCCGCAGTTGCATAACTATAAGATATATAAGATACAACCCTTATGCTGTAAAGTGTGGAATAAAATCAAAACTTCGAAGGATTACTAAGAGGCCTACTAGACAAAACAAATGGGTGCTTCTGGCTGAGAACTATTCTGTTTGCTATCTTTGGAGTCCTTAAAAATCTGCAAGGCAACCGGTATAAAAAGTATTGGGCTGCAAACATTGCCTGTGAGACGGAATGTAAATTGACACACATTCTGTACCCTTTTGCACATTTCATGCATGGTTAGGATACTTTTTCAAAAATACTGATGTACAAATACCTTTGTAAGTATATTTTCGAAAAATGTGCTTCTACTCCTCATTTTATTTTTTCGACCTCCCTCCCCACAGCTTTCACACCGTATTTTGTTTTTATATTTTTTGAAGTCACACACGACTATTTTTTCAGCTACACGACAACAATTTTGTTTTTTTTCTGACTTTTTTACAGATGTCGGAATGATTATGATGCAAACTGGCATGGTCAAACAAAACCTAAACACCTATCAAAGACACTTGGATGGTAGGCCATCCCATATAATCCATGCTTGGCGCCGCTACTGATTGTTTTTCGATGTCATTTTTATGTATCGATATTTGTGTTGTTGCTAACCATTTATACAGTATGGATGTGAAAAGTTTTCTCATCTTAACTTCTCAATGCGTCAAGATATCTCACTCACTTTTTCAATAGAAAGGGTTCTTGAGTCACTGTACCTGAAATAGGTAGATTGTATAAAGCGTCAACATAAATACGCTTTACCTAATTCAGGTACAGGTATTCATGTTGACTCAGGTCAACATGAATACCTGAATACGACGCTTTACGCAGTCGTGATACCCACAGCGTATTTATGTAGACGCTTTACACAATTGACATAATCCAGGTACAGATATCACCACCTCAAACTACCTGAGTCAACATAAATACGCTTTACGCAGTCATAATACCCAGTCATCTGTGATGACATTCATCTTGAGTTTATCTCCGACGACTGGGTTATGCCTGCGTGAAGGATATTTATGTTGACTCAGGTATTTTGTTGTTCTAATACCTGTACCTGAATTAGTTAAATTGCGTAAAGCGTCAACATAAAAACGCTGTATGCAATCAGGTGAATTGCGTAAAGCATCAACATGGATACGGTGCTGGCTTTACGCTTTACGCAGTCGTAATACCCATCGGAGATGGATATTACTGTCACTCGCCCCAGCGAAACGTCAAGAATAGATTCCAAAAACCAACGGCCTTCGAACCCGAGAAATAGTGACACCTTTTACATTCGTGTTAAGAATTTGCAAACAAATGATAAATATCATAATTTCAAGGAAAGAAAATTAATCAAACCTCACTGAGGTAATTTCATTGCAAGTATATCTTTTTCTTTCCACAAGTTTTGAAACGAACTGCAATTGTGTAAGGTACACTTTGGATCTCACGCAAAAAAATCTCATAAAAATCTAGTGGCGTCAAAACAGGTAATCTAGGGGGCCATTCTAAGGTTTACGCGTATCTTCTGTTTTGGATAATTGATGAACCCATATGAGTTTTCAACTCAAGTGACGTTTCAGCAAGATGAGGTACCTCCTCATTATGACAGGCTCCTTGGAAAGTGAGCTTTTTTCTTGGAATTATTTTTATCTTTTGTTTGCAGGTTCTTCAAATTTATCAATTAATAACCAATTACTCAGTAACGGCCGATTCGATTTTCACAAATGAACCAATTTTGGATAAAAAATAATTGATCTGTCAAAAGAGAAATCATCAGTCCATTTTCATTTAAAAAAAAAGGTGGTAGTGGCCTCTAGATGACCAGTGATTCAACGCTATTGTTTTTCTCATCAAAAATACTAAAAATTATGCCTTTTTTCTTGAATTTTGTTCAATCCCAATTTCCTGTCACGTTCAATAGTTGAGAGAGTTCAAGACTTTTCACGTTCACACTGTACAATCATCAATTAACATGCCTCAACTAATAATGAGACTACTGATGAGAAATATCCTTGAGAAGAATGGACGTTTCGAAATTGAAAATTGAACTTAACCGGTACGTTTTGTTTGTGAATAGATAAATGATGAGTAATTTCGGAATTTCAGTGATAATAATAATGGTTTGGTGCCTGCCCCACTCTTGAACCTCAAGATCAAATCGGCTCACCGCATTACGGCAGAAATCTTGGTCTGCCAAAGGCAGTAGAAGGCTGTTATTTTCGACTCACTGCTCTTGTCAGAGCACACTATTCTCGATCCGATGGTCTCATACCACACGGTTTGAAAGTGATCATTATAGTGTCAGAGCTTTAGGAAATAATAATAATGATAATGGGTTATAACCAGCTTTTGTCGCAAAATACCTGATATTACTGTGCTTTTGCATCCAAGTTCAAGAATCATGTATTCACAGCTAATCAAATGATTCACCAAAAGACATATTTTCATAAATAGAAAAAAGAGATGATAATCAATCTTCCATTTCGAATTTCCCCTTGAAAGGTATGTTTTGCAAGTAGACCTAATTCACTACAATGACGAATGGAATGATTTGGTGAATTTTTCTTGGGTCCTTCATTAAAATCCACGATGAATGTTGTATCCTATCGCGTTCGACAGACAGACATACAAATGTTAGTTTGGTAAGGTTGGTAAATTTCAAATAAGGTTTGTACAAGAATCCAGGGCTCTGAGAAATTTCCAAAGTAAATGTAAACAGGCGTGCTCCAAAGTTAAAATCACTAGTACATCTGAATTATAAGCTAGGCAAGATTCAGTTTCGAAAAGTTGACTTTGAAAAATGTTCTTCTCAAGAAATATTTGTCATCAGTTTTCCGCAAAAAACGAATTCGAGGAAAAATCCCGGCATCGCTAAGTTTTTGCTAGCCTATAGACCTACAGCTATTCATATAATCATAGCGAGCTTCCACACAGTCATTGCAAATTAATAGTTATTGCCAAATCGTAATTTTGAAGTACTCTTACATTATCGTTTTCCATATTTTGGACACAGTAACTTTATTTTTCCCCATCCAAGTCCCATCAGTGAGCAGAGAGCCGTAGGTATCTACTTAAGAGAAGAAAATCGGATTTTTCTTTGTTCCATATCCCAGATAAAATGTGGTTACTACACTTGAGTATGACACCAGAAAATAACAATGAGGTAACGGATGGAAATGGACAAATTATACATTGAAGTTACGATACCTTTTACAGCTGTTTCATTGGATTGTCAATTATTAAAAATTTGCACAGTTTTGAAAACGATATTTGACAGTGATAATGCAATAGCCTTATGGAGTTTGAAGACAATGAAAACATTTGAATATTGTTACACTTATAAGTCCTTTCACTTAGACTTCAGTAATACAAGACTTTGCTTGCCCTAATAATTTGTTATCACTCACTGTTTCTGAACAATCTAAACTCATACTGAATCTACTTGCAAATCTGATTGACTATAAATAATGAAGCTTCTGTGTGAAGACAGGGCTGTACTTGCTACGTTTGTAACAACATTAGCATCCATGAACAAGAATAAATAGTGGGATCATGATTGGTTAATTAAGAAGGTTATAAAAAATTACTCTAGCTGAAGAACATATATAAAATGGGCTGAAAAATTTGGAGACTAACACACAGACATTATTTGGACCATGCACCATGAATTTAAAAGAGATGAAATGAGTATCGATGAAAAATGAAATGAAATTTCACCAAAAAAAAGTATGTTGGCCCACGAACTTCTTTGTCCAACTGATTTATCATAGACAGCTCCAAGAGAAGTGGAAGGTTTTGAAACTACCAAAGATAGGAGATATGGGCAAATCTGAAAATCTCTAAAATCCCTTGTGATGCATTGTTTAGAACCTTTGGTGTAGTAATTAATATTACTGGAGTTTTTTTCCCAACACAAAACGGTTATTTTAATGTATCGACACGTGTTTCGATCACCAAGTGATCGTCTTCAAGAGTAACATCAAACTACTCATACTTACAAAGTTATCCTTATCCATATCATAAGTACCTACGTCTTAAGTGTCTTAAATCAATTTCACAATATTGCCTCATCTACTAGTCTTAAACTAATTTCACAATGTGTCCTTATGTGCTTTTAAAAACGACAAAAATCAAGATGGATATTTTTCAGTTCCATACCACCAATACACAAAGAACTTTGGAGAAATTTTCAAGGAACTCGGTATGAAGGTGGTTTTTAAAACAAGTCATAAAGTCGAGAATTTACGAAATGCAAAATATCATGGACAGACAAAAAGATCTATTGAATTAAGATATAAGGAACATTTAGCACACTTAAAATATGGAAGACCTGAAAAATGAGCAGTCGCCCATCATATTTTGCAACAAAATCATTCCGTAGACTTCAGTTCATTAATATTAGTTAGACAAGTTAACAACAACAGGCATCTAGATGGCTATGAGAGCCAAATTTGGGATCAATGTGTTTCCGAATCATTCCCCAAAAATATTAGCTTCCATGTTCTTATGATAGTCAACATTGCGATCCTCAAATTTGTTTTACATAATTTCAACCCATCCTTTAATACCTCCGCAATGCACAATGGTTAGTCGCGATCCTTTGTTTGCAGGCATGTTAGGCGTACACGTTCTCGAACCATCAGTCAACCCTTTCGTAATTATGAGGAGTTTTGTCACAGCAGCTCACGTTATTGCCGGAAATATTCAATTACTTCCTTATGATCTCAGTTGTAGGAATCTCATATAGATAGAATCTCAAATTATCTAATAGGAACCGTCAATTCTTCAGTCCACGTGGCATTATTTCTCTTATTGGTTTTTTTGGCCTTTGAGATGCCGATAGCTTCGACTATTCACAATAGAGATTACTTCGACTATACCTGGTTTGAATATGGTATAAATAAGGATAACTTTGTAAGTATTAGTTTGATATTCCACATGAAGATGATCACTTGGTGATCGAAACACGTGTCGAGGTGTTAAAATAACGATTTGGTGTTGGGAAAAAACTCCAGTTATATTCTTGAAACCCTAGATAAACAAAAAATAATTAAAATGAAATGATGGAAAAGTATCAAACTTCTGAAGAAGATGAAATCTTAAGGCAGTGTAAGCAGTACTTCCTTGGTAACTTTATCAAATCGAATCAAATCTGAAATCTCATTCGTAGCCTAGAAGTTGAAAATACTATTTCCGTTTTATGAAACAATGAGGTCTTAAAACTCTACAGTACTTGAATAATTCAGCAAGAGTTGAGAGATAGATGCAAAATCAGAAGATGATTGAAGTAATGAAAGTAATAAAATGCCTAAGGAAGAATAAGTGCCTAAATAAGTGAATAATGCCTAAATAAGAATAAGTTTGAGAGCAGAGTATTTACAAATGAAGAAGATAGAAATCCGAGTCTTTAGATTATATATATACAAGGGCTGTTAAAAAATCATCAATTTTCATTCAGTCTTTCAAACCTAAGAGCTTTTTCAGAAGTTTTTAGGTGTCAGTCACGTTTTCAACTGTTTCTGTCTCACACA